CTCCCTCCCCTCAATCCCTCCCCAACTCCCTCCCCTCAATCCCTCCCCCCTCCCCTCAATCCCTCCCCCCCTACCTCCCCTCAATCCCTCCCCCCTCCCCTCAATCCCTCCCCCCTCCCCTCACGCAACCCTCGTGGCCCACTGCCAAACGGGGGGTTGGTGGTGGTGGAGGTGTCTGTCTGTGTACGCGTGGTGGTGCTGGTCGTGGCGATGGTGAGTCGGTTTGTATATGCGGTGTGGAGGGGGGGTGGTGGTGGTGTGGAGTCAATTTGTGTAGGCGTGGTGGTGTGGTGTTGGTATGCGTTCGCGTGGTGGTGGTTATGGTGGTGATGCGGTGCCGGTTTGCAAATGCGTGGTGGTGGTGGTGGTTGTGGTGGTGGTGGTTGTTGTGGTTGTGGTGGTGGTGTTGGTGCGAGTCTGCATCCCTTTTCTCGCTCCTGCAATGTGAACCGAATGGAGCGGAAACTTGCGTTACATTTTATTATTGGTATAATCTCCATATGTATAAAAGGCAAAGTTGGGAATGTGTGTCTGTTCAAAATGTTTAGCGTACTTCCCGACATGCAACAAACTTGAAATTTGCCATGTGGGTACTTTCCAGACTGTACACCATGCACAAATTATAAAAATACACTTTTTTGGGGGGGGGGGGTCTCAATGTCACGTGACCGCCGCATGTGGAAGCGTAACGCATTGTAGTGTAGCGGTTAGCGTGCTGTGTATGTGTCTGTGTATGTGTCTGTGTGTGTGTCTGTATGTGTGTCTGTATGTGTGTCTGTATGTGTGTCTGTATGTCTGTGTGTGTGTGTATCTGTGTGTGTGTGTGGAAGCGTAACGCATTGTAGTGTAGTGGTTAGCGTGCTGTGTATGTGTAATCTGTGTGTGTGTGTATGTGTGTGTGTAATCTGTGTGTGTGGAAGCGTAACGCATTGTAGTGTAGCGGTTAGCGCTACGCTGCGCTACGAACCCGGCGACCCGAGTTCGATTCCCGCTCACGGCCACCACCGGTGACGATTATTTTTACCGGTCCTGGGCCTGCCCTAAGTCGACTCGGCCTCAAACGAGCAACTGGTGTGGTGTGTGAACATCGCGTGGTGGATCCGAGTCCCGGGCGAAGCCGGGTAGTACAGCTAGTAATATATAAATATGAATTCATAACCGTGGAGTGCGTACGCGTGCACACAACCCCCCCCTCCGCCCCCCTTGCCTTTCCGGCGTGTCGAACAGCGGCGATCGCAACCATACGGCGGTAATCGCTCGCACACTCCGCCCGCCCGGCGCTATAGCGTCAAGAGGATCTTTCGCCGTTACCAAAAAAATAATTCCACAATCCCCGTCACCCGCTGGCCCCTCCCCCCCTCCTCCTCCTCATCCGCCCCCACTCCCCGACGCACGCAACTCGAGTTGCTATGTCCTCTAGCGGTCTTCGAGTGATCGGACTCGCCAGGGAGACTGAGAATTCTGATCCCAGCAAAGCGCGCGCAGAGAGAGGGCCCGGTGTTAGCGCAGTGAGGCTTTGTCGAGAGGATGAGTCTGGCATTGCGGGGAAGTCGGCACGGCAGGCAGTGTACGGCCAAGTGTGGTGCGAAAGAAGTTCTAACATGCGAATGTAGACAAACTGGCAGGCCGGTCCGTGACTGGGTGTTTACACAGTGTGCACACAGACCGATCTCTGACTGGGTCTCTAGGCCGGTCTGTGACTGGGTGTTTACACAGTGTACACACAGACCGATCTCTGACTGGGTCTCTAGGCCGGTCTGTGACTGGGTGTTTACACAGTGTACACACAGACCGATCTCTGACTGGGTCTCTAGGCCGGTCTGTGACTGGGTGTTTACACAGTGTACACACAGACCGATCTCTGACTGGGTCTCTAGGCCGGCCTGTGACTGGGCTTTTACACAGTGTACACACAGACCGATCTCTGACTGAGTCTCTAGGCCGGCCTGTGACTGGGTGTTTACACAGTGTACACACAGACCGATCTCTGACTGGGTCTCTAGGCCGGTCTGTGACTGAGTGTTTACACAGTGTACACACAGACCGATCTCTGACTGGGTCTCTAGGCCGGTCTGTGACTGGGTGTTTACACAGTGTACACACAGACCGATCTCTGACTTGGTCTCTAGGCCGGTCTGTGACTAGGTGTTTACACAGTGTACACACAGACCGATCTGACTGAGTCTCTAGGCCGGCCTGTGACTGGGTGTTTACACTGTACATACAGACCGATCTCTGACTTGGTCTCTAGGCCGGTCTGTGACTGGGTGTTTACACAGTGCGCACACAGACCGATCTCTGACTTGGTCTCTAGGCCGGTCTGTGACTGGGTGTTTACACAGTGTACACACAGACCGGTCCGTGACTGGGTGTTTACACAGTGTACACACAGACCGGTCCGTGACTGGGTGTTTACACAGTGTACACACAGACCGATCTCTGACTGGCTCTCTAGGCCGGTCCGTGACTGGGTGTTTACACAGTGTACACACAGACCGATCTCTGACTGGGTCTCTAGGCCGGTCTGTGACTGGGTGTTTACACAGTGTACACACAGACCGATCTCTGACTGGGTCTCTAGGCCGGTCTGTGACTGGGTGTTTACACAGTGTACACACAGACCGATCTCTGACTGGGTCTCTAAGCCGGCCTGTGACTGGGTGTTTACACAGTGTACACACAGACCGATCTCTGACTGGGTCTCTAGGCCGGTCTGTGACTGGGTGTTTACACAGTGTACACACGGATCGATCTCTGACTGGGTCTCTAGGCCGGTCTGTGACTGGGTGTTTACACAGTGTACACACAGACCGATCTCTGACTGGGTCTCTATGCCGGTCTGTGACTGGGTGTTTACACAGTGTACACACAGACCGATCTCTGACTGGGTCTCTAGGCCGGTCTGTGACTGGGTGTTTACACAGTGTACACACAGACCGATCTCTGACTGGGTCTCTAAGCCGGCCTGTGACTGGGTGTTTACACAGTGTACACACAGACCGATCTCTGACTGGGTCTCTAGGCCGGTTTGTGACTGGGTGTTTACACAGTGTACACACAGACCGATCTCTGACTGGGTCTCTAAGCCGGCCTGTGACTGGGTGTTTACACAGTGTACATACAGACCGATCTCTGACTGGGTCTCTATGCCGGTCTGTGACTGGGTGTTTACACAGTGTACACACAGACCGATCTCTGACTGGGTCTCTAGGCCGGTCTGTGACTGGGTGTTTACACAGTGTACACACAGACCGATCTCTGACTGGGTCTCTAGGCCGGCCTGTGACTGGGTGTTTACACAGTGTACACACAGACCGATCTCTGACTGGGTCTCTAGGCCGGCCTGTGACTGGGTGTTTACACAGTGTACACACAGACCGATCTCTGACTGGGTCTCTAGGCCGGCCTGTGACTGGGTGTTTACACAGTGTACACACAGACCGATCTCTGACTGGGTCTCTAGGCCGGTCTGTGACTGGGTGTTTACACAGTGTACACACAGACCGATCTCTGACTGGGTCTCTAGGCCGGTCTGTGACTGGGTGTTTACACAGTGTACACACGGACCGATCTCTGACTGGGTCTCTAGGCCGGTCTGTGACTGGGTGTTTACACAGTGTACACACAGACCGATCTCTGACTGGGTCTCTAGGCCGGTCTGTGACTGGGTGTTTACACAGTGTACACACAGACCGATCTCTGACTGGGTCTCTAGGCCGGCCTGTGACTGGGTGTTTACACAGTGTACACACAGACCGATCTCTGACTGGGTCTCTAGGCCGGCCTGTGACTGGGTGTTTACACAGTGTACACACAGACCGATCTCTGACTGGGTCTCTAGGCCGGTCTGTGACTGGGTGTTTACACAGTGTACACACAGACCGATCTCTGACTGGGTCTCTAGGCCGGTCTGTGACTGGGTGTTTACACAGTGTACACACAGACCGATCTCTGACTGGGTCTCTAGGCCGGTCTGTGACTGGGTGTTTACACAGTGTACACACAGACCGATCTCTGACTGGGTCTCTAGGCCGGTCTGTGACTGGGTGTTTACACAGTGTACACACAGACCGATCTCTGACTGGGTCTCTATGCCGGTCTGTGACTGGGTGTTTACACAGTGTACACACAGACCGATCTCTGACTGGGTCTCTAGGCCGGTCTGTGACTGGGTGTTTACACAGTGTACACACAGACCGATCTCTGACTGGGTCTCTAAGCCGGCCTGTGACTGGGTGTTTACACAGTGTACACACAGACCGATCTCTGACTGGGTCTCTAGGCCGGTCTGTGACTGGGTGTTTACACAGTGTACATACAGACCGATCTCTGACTGGGTCTCTATGCCGGTCTGTGACTGGGTGTTTACACAGTGTACATACAGACCGATCTCTGACTGGGTCTCTAGGCCGGCCTGTGACTGGGTGTTTACACAGTGTACACACAGACCGATCTCTGACTGGGTCTCTAGGCCGGTCTGTGACTGGGTGTTTACACAGTGTACATACAGACCGATCTCTGACTGGGTCTCTATGCCGGTCTGTGACTGGGTGTTTACACAGTGTACACACAGACCGATCTCTGACTGGGTCTCTAAGCCGGCCTGTGACTGGGTTTCTAAACAGGGACCGGTCCACACGTGGGGCTTGGTTTGCGTGCCAGGGAGAATTCGTTTGATTGTTGTGTCCGACCTGAATTGCGCGCGAAAGAATGCCGACAGAGGTTAACCTGTCGTGTTGGCGTGTCTCCCCTCCACAACACCCTGCCCACGTGCCTCTCCCTGCAACACCCTTCCCACGTGCCTGCCCCCCGCAACACCGTGCCCACGTGCCTGCCCCCCGCAACACCGTGCCCACGTGCCTCCCCCCGCACCACCCTGCCCACGTGCCTCTCCCCGCACCACCTTGCCCACGTGCCCGCCCCCGCACAAACCGTGCTCTCGCCGAGTATTTCCATAACGCGTTCCCCCGCTGTTGCCGTATCTCCGCGCACCCCGACAGCAGCAGCAGCAGCAGGAGGAGAGCGCCAGCGCGTGGCGCGCACGAGCTCCTCCCCCTCCGTGGGGGGCCCCGCCCGCCGGGCCGGGGCTGGCGGCGGGGGCGGCTGCCCGGCGCCGCTGGACGCCATCGCGGGGGCTTACCTGACGGGCCAGTGGCCGCGCGACCACCACCACCACCACCACCACCCTCCTCACTCCGCTGCTCCGGCCGTGCGGGACAAGGCCACCCAGGTGAGGGCGGCGCAGCGGCGCTGGTCTCCTCCCGGGACGCCGCGGGCGCGGGGGAGTGCCGCTGGTTTCAAAAAGCTCTGACCCTCCGTGATGCGGGCAGTGGGCCCCGGGGGGCTGCCGGGACAGTGGGCGGGGCTAGTTGTACAGTGGGCGTGGCTATGTGCAAGTGGGCGGGGTTTGCAATGGCGGCAGTCGGGCGGGTGGGGGTGGGGTGGGCCCTCTCAGAGCTGCGGTCACGTTGTGGCGCAGCGGTGGAACCAGCAGCGGTGCAGCGGTGGGTCAGATGCACAATTTCGAACACATTTCAGACTCTTAAACGACTTCTCCTCCTCCCTTACCTTACGCCAGTGAGACCGTCGCGTCTCGAGGGCTCTTTACCTTGTCCACGTGAATTTCTGTTGCTGTTTGGGGAGGCGGGGGAGAGAGGTGGGGGCGGGGACGCGGTCAGTGGGGGGGGTGCCATTGTGGCTAGGAGATGTTGACTACCTCGCCTGGTGTACAGGAGGTCGTGGGTTCGATCCCGACCCTGACCCCTGCTGTATATGTAGAGTGTCTCTCTCTCATCATCATCACGGTGGCTAGGAGATGTTAACTACCTCGCCTGGTGTACAGGAGGTCGTGGGTTCGATCCCGACCCTGACCCCTGCTGTATATGTAGAGTGTGTGTGTCTCTCTCTCATCATCATCACGGTGGCTAGGAGATGTTAACTACCTCGCCTGGTGTACAGGAGGTCGTGGGTTCGATCCCGACCCCTGCTGTATATGTAGAGTGTGTGTCTCTCTCTCATCATCATCACGGTGGCTAGGAGATGTTAACTACCTCGCCTGGTATACAGGAGGTCGTGGGTTCGATCCCGACCCTGACGACGCCTGCTGCTGTATATTTGGCTTCCGCGTGTTCACTCTCCCCGTGGTTGCGAAGATTTTTCTGCGGTGTCCTCCGGTTATTTTCCCCTCCCATATTTAGTGTCAACGTCAACGCGTTCAAAGTCATTTGCCTGCTATAAAGGTTTCCGCAGGGGGCACGCAAGGGGAGGACAGGACGGGGGGGGGTGAAGGCTGCGTGCGAAGGGATGGCTTGGGGGGCGGGGGGGGGTGACTTGGAGTGCAAGTGAGATGAGTCAAAGTCCCTCTCTCACAGCTGTGACTGCAAAGGAGCGAGCGGGGCAGATGGAGTTATCAAACTTTTTTTTTGCGGGATGAATTTGCGGAGAGGGGGCCCCTCAAGAGTGCCGCCCCCCCCCCCGTCTTGGATCTGCGGGGGCACAACGGCGCGCGGAAGTGACCCCTCTGTGATGGAGCGCGACGAACACAAAGCGCAGCAGAAATTCCCTGCCGCCTCCGTTTTTCTGTTTCTGTGCCACGCTCTCCCTCTGTGTCTGTGCCACACTCTCTCTCTCGCTATCTCCCTCTGTCTCTGTACCACGCTCTCTCTCTCTCGCTATCTCCCTCTGCCACGCTCTCTCTCTCTCGCTATCTCCCTCTGTGTCTGTGCCACACTCTCTCTCTCTCGCTATCTCCCTCTGTCTCTGTGCCACGCTCTCTCTCTCTCTCGCTATCTCTCTCTGTCCCCGTGCCACGCTCTCTCTCGCTATCTCCCTCTGTCTGTGCCACGCTCTCTCTCGCTATCTCTCCTTGCTGTGCGCGGGCGGTGGCGCAGTGGTTAGCTCGCTGGGTGATGATCGGGGCGAGGTTGTTTGTGCTTTCCACCGCAGTCCTGCTGCTGCTTTCCCACACGGCCGTCCAGAATGGGGGGGGGGAGGGGGATTGAGGGACCTCCATCCCTGGGCCCCCCAGGAGGAAACTGCTTCCCACATTTCACCTCAATAAGCGAAAACTAGTTACAATTTTTTTTCATTTTACCAGGTAAGGCCCAACTGAGCTGTATGGCAATTTTTCAGAAGTGACCTGGCCGTCACAAATGAAAGCTCAACGAAGTGGTTTATCGTCGTAATCGTGTGGAAGTTGACTGCAGCCAAATACTATTTTAAAAAAAGCGTGACGTCGATTCTAAATCTAGAGGGGAAAAACCGGAGGACCCAGAGTAAAATCCACGCGACCACTGGGAGAGAGAGAGAGAGAGGCACACAAACTCCAAATATACAGCAGCAGGCGTCAGGGTCGGGATCAAACCCATGACCTCCTGCATACCAGGCGAGGTAGTTAACATCTCCTAGCGAACCGTGATGATGATGAGAGACACCGCAAACTCCAAATATGCAGCAGCAGGCGTCAGGGTCGGGACCGAACCCACGACCTCCTGTATACCAGGCGAGGGAGATGACATCTCCTAGCGAACCGTGATGATGATGAGAGACACCGCAAACTCCAAATATGCAGCAGCAGGCGTCAGGGTCGGGACCGAACCCACGACCTCCTGTATACCAGGCGAGGGAGATGACATCTCCTAGCCACCGCGGTGTGCCCCAAGACGGAGGCACAGAACGACTTGGCGTGGCCTCGTGCCTCTCGCCGCGGCGTTTCCCCTCCCTCCGCGGTCCGTGTCTGCGTGTGGGATTATTACGTAAGCACTTGACCCTCCACCCCCCCCCCCCACTCCACCACCACCAGCCCCCCCTTACAGGGCGTTGCTCGCTGTGGAAAGACAAAGCGCCCTTTGAGCACGGCCGCTTAATTCTCTCCAAAAATCCGGCAGCTGGGAGGCACGGGGGGTGTTGTGTCGTGGTGTAAACGCAACTGCCGCTACCGCGCTGATCGGAGGTGCGGGCGGGCCGTGCGGAGGGGGCGGGGGGCGGGGGGGGGGGAAGGACAACCAACTTGACGCGCACGAAGCAGTTCAAGAAATGAGAGTTGGGTCGAGATGATGTGAAAGGTGCGTGACTCTGGCGGCTTGCTTGCCGCTTGCGTGGGCGTCCGGCTCAAAAGCCAAAGAGCCACGAGTTCGGATCCCGATCGGGGGGCGGGGGTAGGGGCTGGGGGGGGGTAGGGGCTGGGGGGGGGGGGGGCATTGCATAAGAACGAGCAGAAGAAGGCATCGCCACGTGTCCAACCGTCACATTGCCGCCCTGATAGATTAACCACCCTCACCGCACCCAGTGCAGCGTGTGTGTGGCACGCCTGTCCGTGTGTGTGTGTGTGGCACGCCTGTCCGTGTGTGTGTGTGTGGCACGCCTGTCCGTGTGTGTGTGTGTGTGGCACGCCTGTCCGTGTGTGTGTGTGGCACGCCTGTCCGTGTGTGTGTGTGTGTGGCACGCTTGTCCGTGTGTGTGTGTGGCACGCCTGTCCGTGTGTGTGTGTGTGGCACGCCTGTCCGTGTGTGTGTGTGTGGCACGCCTGTCCGTGTGTGTGTGTGTGGCACGCCTGTCCGTGTGTGTGTGTGTGGCACGCTTGTCCGTGTGTGTGTGTGTGGCACGCCTGTCCGTGTGTGTGTGTGTGGCACGCCTGTGTGTGTGTGGCACGCTTGTCCGTGTGTGTGTGTGTGGCACGCTTGTCCGTGTGTGTGTGTGTGGCACGCCTGTCCGTGTGTGTGTGTGTGGCACGCCTGTCCGTGTGTGTGTGTGTGGCACGCCTGTCCGTGTGTGTGTGTGTGTGGCACGCCTGTCCGTGTGTGTGTGTGTGGCACGCCTGTCCGTGTGTGTGTGTGTGTGGCACGCCTGTCCGTGTGTGTGTGTGTGTGGCATGCCTGTCCGTGTGTGTGTGTGTGTGTGGCACGCCTGTCCGTGTGTGTGTGTGTGTGGCACGCCTGTCCGTGTGTGTGTGTGTGTGGCACGCCTGTCCGTGTGTGTGTGTGTGTGGCACGCCTGTCCGTGTGTGTGTGTGTGTGTGGCACGCCTGTCCGTGTGTGTGTGTGTGTGGCACGCCTGTCCACGTGAGCGTGTGGTATAGCGGTGGCGTAGCGGTTAGCCCGCTGCGTTAAGGACCCGCGACCCGAGTTCGGTTCCCGCTCACTTCCAACACCGGTGACGATTATCGGTAGCTGTCCTGGGACTCTCCTAGGTCTACTCGGCCTCAAATGACTCTCTGGTGCGGTATGTAAACATCGCCCCTGGGGAGACAAAGGCGGTCGGGCGTGGTGCTGGCCACCCACCTCCTCGTGTGCCGTGCCAGCCTTCATAGGTGCTGCTCGCTAACAGCACTTGCCCCAACAGTCTGTTACGGGCTACACGGGGGATCTGTGTGTTTGGTTTTGCTGTATTTTCCTGTAGATGTTTAGAGATCGGATCTCTCTGCATATCTCCTGCGTCTTATTTATACGTTCGACTTGCTAGGGGCGCGACGGTGGCGATGTTAACTTCCTTGACTGGTATGCAGGAGGTCATGAGTTCGACCCCGATCCTGATGCCAGCTGTATATTTGGAGTATGCGTGTGTCGCTCTCTCTCTCTCTCTCCCCGTTGTCGCGTGGATTTTTCTCCCGGGTCCTGCGGTTTTTCCCTCCACATGTTAAAATCGGCGTCACGCGTTTCAGAGTATTTGGCTGCTGCTATAAATGTCCACGTGATGACAAGCCGCTTCGTTGAGCCGTCGTTTGTGATGGCCAGGTCGCTTACCTGGTGAAATTAAGCAAATGCAGAAACCTTGGATTGCGAGCATAATTCGTTCCGGAAACGTGTTTGTAATCCAAAGCGCTCGTATATCAAAGCGCTCGTATATCAGTTGTGATCACGTGACGCTCGGCAGACAAAGCGTACACGTACTGCTCGTATTGCAAGAAGACCCTCGCTCGTTTATCAAATTAATATTTATTTACGAATGTTTGCTCGTCTTGCAAAACACTCGCAGACCAAGTGACCCGCAATCCAAGGTCTTACTGTGGTATGAAATTGAAATAAATGGTTTATATATCCGACAATGGAACTCTACCACCGAGTCGGAAGTCGGTGACCGCTGGAGCGGAGCTACTAAGTGAGACGATTGTTTCGGATTGACGTCGCACGCGCGCCGGGTGGGCACCTGGCGCCATCGGTCGTCCTTCATCGTCGCCATCGTCACGGTCATCGTCATCGTCGTCGTGACGGCCGTCCACGTCACACCGACACGCCGTGGAAACGCTCTGAAAATTCCCCCCCTCCCACCCCCCCCCTCCCCCAAAAAAAAAAATATTGATCTGAAATCATCCGTAAAACTCCATAAAATTTGCAATCGGAAACTCGCCCGCTTCGGTTTTTAACGTCGCTGAAATGTGAAGATGATTGTGCGGAGCGAGAGAGGGGGGGGGGGGAGAGTAATTAGCCGGCGGGGGGGGGGGGGGGGGTCACGGGGTCACGGGGTCACGGTGGCTTTGCCGTCGCTCTGCTCGTCCGGTGGCGGAGTGCCGGCCCACCGTCGCGCCGTTCAATCGGCGGCTCGTCGGTCTCGGTCGCTCCGGCAACGGTGCCGGCGGCGGGCCCCGCCGGTTCGCCGCGGTGCTAACGAGCACCGGGGGGGGCGGAGGGGCGGGGTTCACAATGGCCGTGTCACCAGAGACGTAGGTGCTTAACAATCCTGGTCTCGGCCTCCGCTCTCTCTCTCTCGAGAGAGAGATGTGTCTCTAAAAATAAGGATCAAGGCACAGCCCCACACTCGTCTGCTCGCGCTGCGTGCTGCCTGCAATGTCCCGGGGGAGGGTATGCGAGGTGATTTATAAATGTTGTGAAATTCTAGATCGTGTGCGTGCGAGTCGTTTGTGAAGATTCACGTACTGTATGAATGCGCCAATAGAAAATAACTATTCATAATAATGTTTTTTGGGTTGGATCGCGGAAGTATAAATGTGTCGTAACCCCTCCACCACCCGACACAGCCAATTAGTAAGGGATTTGTCATGTAAACAAAACGCCCAATAGTTACTAGTATAGTGTACTGTAGTGTGTAGTGTACTACTTAAGCCCACCGGTGTGTTGGAGAGTAAATCCGCAAACTTTACAATTTGAGTATCGTGATGTTTCGCTGGTAATTACATCCAGCATCATCGGCTGATTGGCCGTGTCGGGTGGTGGAGGGTTACGACACAACATTTACACTGACGTGATCTCACCCAAAAACCTTGACTATGAATATTATTGGTCGCGAAAGCCTGCGCTACGTTGTTAAACATAAAATAACTACGATACAATTTAAATCTATTTGATAACTTTGCACGCTATGAGACATTTTCTAAACTCGCTCGTCGTTAGCATTGTGGTGGCTGACCAAGAGTTGCCGGCAAGTGCGAGAAAATTACGTCACGTGCGCAGAGCGTCCATTGACTTTATTTTGTTTTACTTTTAAATTAGCTTGCAGTTTGCTAGCAGGCGGGTAGGGGGATACCTCACAATGGACAATTGGCTTGAAAATGTCGACATTCATTATTATCCGTCAATTTATTTTGTCAGAACCATGTTGGGGTCAGGCAACGGGGTTGGTGGTGGTGGTGGAGGGGTGAGGGTGGTGGTGGGGGTGGTGGTGGGGGTGGTGGAGGAGAGGGGGTGGGGGTTGTGGTGGAGGAGAGGGGGTGGGGGTGGTGATGGTGGTGGAGGAGGGAGTGGTGGTGGTGGTGGCGTTGGAGGGGTTGAGAGAACCGCTGGGGTAGAGAGCTGCTTCCCTCCATCCCTGGAGTGGTGCGGTGGTCGGCAAGTCTCAACACGCCCGGGGAAGGAGGGAGGGCGTCTCTCTCTCTCGAGAGGGGGGTGGGTGTGGACCATACCCACGCTTTACCCCACCGCGTGAGTGGTCGGGTCGCGGTTTTAATGCCCCGTGAATCGTGTAGGGCGTGGAGGTCACGTGACCTCGGCAGCCACTGGAGGCGCTGTGATGAGTGCCTCCGATTAATAAAATAAATAAATGTGACACGCATGAAACGCCACGCTAAATGTCCGGCGTTACGTAACGCGCGCAAGTGCACCACCTGCCGTTGACGCGACATGCAAATAAGGCTCGTCGCCCGGAACGTCGGCCTTTGTACGATTTGCCATCTTGGGGAACGCGCGCTGTGTGTGTGAGATTGGTGGCCGAAAGCAAGCCCCCCCCCCCCCCCCCCTGTGATGAGTGCCTCCTGTGCACAGGGGGGGGGGGGGGGCTTGCGGTTGGTTCCTGACGTCGGGAGAGCGTCCGGATCGTTTGTGGTCGTACTTCCCCGCCGGGGTCGCGAGGCTTGACGGGCTGAAATTTAGAAATTTAACCTCGGGCGACCCGAGGTTAAATTGCACTTCGCCCTTCTCCCCCCCCCCCACCACCAACGCTACGTCTCACAAGGTCGTGCATCAACAAGCGCCGTGGGGCGAGCAGCTTCCCGCACCGACCGGCTGCACATTTGGCAGCAGACCCCGGACTCCTGTCTCTGTCTCCATCTCATCTCGCTCTCGTATCTCTCGCTCTCTGTGTTCCTCGTCACCCGTGTCGTGAGACGACTCGGGCTGAACGATTTGGGGGGAAATGTCTAATTGCGATTTTTCTGACAGATGTTGCGATTTGATTTGCGATTCAATTTTTGTATTAGTCAAGTTTCAGTTAAAATATTCACTGTGTAATAGAACTGCTCAATATATTCTAATGCAAGGATGAGAACTTAAAAGACATGAATTGCTTCCAACATGGATTTATTAAAATGTGTTCTATTTCAATAAAAAATCAACCATAGAACAATTGTTAAGTTAAATAAAGAAAGTTATAATAATTAAAAAAAATAACAATTCCAATAAGCAAATAATAATAGGACTCTTCGAATCGCGAAAAAATCGCAGCCTTTGCGATTTGCTGCTAATCGCATTGTTTCAAATTGCGATTTTTTTTCTTCGATTTGAAATCGATGAATCGTTCGGACCTGGAGCCTACACGCGACCGACTCCATCCGCCGGAGCGGCCGCGCCGTGCGCGCAACGCCACGTCCATCGATAGCGTGACGGAGGGCGGCGGCCGATGAGCGTCTTGAAATCGCTGGCTCCCGCGAGTCTCTCTCTCTCTCTCTCTCTTTTGTTCCGGTGCTACCGCTCGCTTCTGCAGGTCGCGTGGAAGTGGCCGCAGCCCCGCGCTGTCTACCCCCACACACACATACACACACATACACACAGAATCGGAATAAACGAAACTCGTTATTTATTTATCCTGGAGAAATCCTCGTGAGCTCTCCAAGCTCGTTTTCGCAGATGGCCAGTTAACGGTGGGGGGGGGGAGGAGGGCGTGGTGGGGTCAGAAAGTGGTGGCGGTGGCGTAACCCCTCCCCCCGCCCGCCCCCACGCCGTGCGTCTGCCTGCGTCCGCGTGCAGACCCCGAGGGCCTGGGCGGACGAGAGCTGGGACCCACACCGCAAAGCTCCCCTGTGGGAGAGCAATGAGCAGCGCAAGGAGGTGAGGCCGGGCGGGCGGGCAGGGGTGTGGGCACGCACCTACCTACTCACCTGTCCACCTACCTACCCACCTGTCCACCTACTTACTCACCAGCCCACCTACCTACTCACCTGTCCACCTACCTACTCACCAGCCCACCTACCTACTCACCTGCCCACCTACCTACTCACCTGCCCACCTACCTACTCACCTGCCCACCTACCTACTCACCTGCCCACCTACCTACTCACCTGCCCACCTACCTACTCGCCTGCCCGCCTACCTACTCACCAGCCCACCTACCTACCCACCTGCCTGCCTACCTACTCACCAGCCTGCCTACCTACTCACCTGCCCACCTACCTACTCACCTGCCCGCCTACCTACTCACCTGCCCACCTACCTACTCACCTGCCCACCTACCTACTCACCTGCCCACCTACCTACTCACCAGCCCACCTACCTACTCACCTGTCCACCTACCTACTCACCTGCCCACCTACCTACTCACCAGCCCACCTACCTACTCACCTGTCCACCTACCTACTCACCAGCCCACCTACCTACTCACCTGTCCACCTACCTACTCACCTGCCCACCTACCTACTCACCAGCCCACCTACCTACTCACCTGTCCACCTACCTACTCACCTGCCCACCTACCTACTCACCTGTCCACCTACCTACTCACCTGCCCACCTACCTACTCACCAGCCCACCTACCTACTCACCTGCCCACCTACCTACTCGCCTGCCCGCCTACCTACTCACCAGCCTGCCTACCTACTCACCTGCCCACCTACCTACTCACCTGCCCACCTACCTACTCACCTGCCCACCTACCTACTCACCAGCCCACCTACCTACTCACCAGCCCACCTACCTACCCACCTGCCCACCTACCTACTCACCAGCCCGCCTACCTACTCACCTGCCCACCTACCTACTCACCTGCCCACCTACCTACTCACCTGCCCACCTACCTACTCACCAGCCCACCTACCTACTCACCTGCCCACCTACCTACTCGCCTGCCCGCCTACCTACTCACCAGCCCACCTACCTACCCACCTGCCCGCCTACCTACTCACCAGCCTGCCTACCTACTCACCTGCCCACCTACCTACTCACCTGCCCACCTACCTACTCACCTGCCCACCTACCTACTCACCTGCCCGCCTACCTACTCACCTGCCCACCTACCTACTCACCTGCCCACCTACCTACTCACCTGCCCGCCTACCTACTCACCTGTCCACCTACCTACTCACCTGCCCACCTACCTACTCACCTGCCCGCCTACCTACTCACCTGCCCACCTACCTACTCACCTGCCCACCTACCTACTCACCTGACCACCTACCTACTCACCTGCCCACCTACCTACTCACCTGCCCACCTACCTACTCACCTGCCCACCTACCTACTCACCTGCCCACCTACCTACTCACCAGCCCACCTACCTACTCACCAGCCCGCCTACCTACTCACCTGCCCACCTACCTACTCACCAGCCCACCTACCTACTCACCTGCCCACCTACCTACTCACCTGCCCACCTACCTACTCACCTGCCCACCTACCTACTCACCTGCCCGCCTACCTACTCACCTGCCCACCTACCTACTCACCAGCCCACCTACCTACTCACCTGCCCACCTAACTACTTAACTGCCCGCCTACCTACGTACCTGCCCGCCTACCTACTCACCTGCCCGCCTACCTACTCGCCTGCCCGCCTACCTACTCACCTGTCCACCTACCTACTCACCTGCCCACCTTCCTACTCACCTGCCCACCTACCTACTCACCTGCCCACCTACCTACTTACCTACCCACCTACCTACTCGCCTGCCCACCTTCCTACTCACCTGCCCACCTACCTACGTACCTGCCCGCCTACCTACTCGCCTGCCCGCCTACCTACTCGCCTGCCCGCCTACCTACTCGCCTGCCCGCCTACCTACTCACCAGCCCACCTACCTACTCACCTGCCCACCTAACTACTTAACTGCCCACCTACCTACGTACCTGCCCGCCTACCTACCCACCTGCCCACCTACCTACTCACCTGCCCACCTACCTACTCACCTGCTCGCCTACCTACTCGCCTGCCCGCCTACCTACTCACCAGCCCACCTACCTACTCACCAGCCCACCTACCTACTCACCAGCCCGCCTACCTACTCGCCTGCTCGCCTACCTACTCGCCTGCCCGCCTACCTACTCACCAGCCCACCTACCTACTCACCTGCCCACCTACCTACTCACCTGCCCACCTACCTACGTACCTGCCTGCCTACCTACTCACCTGCCCGCCTACCTACTCGCCTGCCCACCTACCTACTCACCTGCCCACCTACCTACTCACCTGCCCACTTACCTACGTACCTGCCCGCCTACCTACTCACCTGCCCGCCTACCTACTCGCCTGTCCACCTACCTACTCACCAGCCCACCTACCTACTCACCTGCCCACCTAGCTACCCACCTGTATACACACACCTAGCTGTCACATGCGATTCTGCAGCCGTCTGGAACGCTCTTCCTTCCGATTATTACGAAGCCACTGGAGCTATGCACTATTAAATCATCGTCTAGATCAGGGGTGGGGAACGTCCGTGTAAGGCACCGTGAAATAATTTTGGTCTCTGGCCCTGCCAAGGCAACCGCAGGCGGGACTCGAAATTCAATAACAGGCACATTTTTAAGTTGCTAATTTTGTATGGCCCGCGAATGATGTTATACATATCCAAATTGGCCCTTGGCAGAAAAAAGGTTCCCCACCCCTGGTCTAGATTGAAAGCTCATTTCTTTAGAACTGTCTTTGCGCTTTAGTTTGTCCTTCCCCCGCACCTCCGATTTAGCACGGCTCGCTAAGTATGGTGCGAAAGAAGTAAGACATACATAACACCTATGTACTTACCTGCCCACATTGCTACCTGCCCACACACACATATATAACCCTTGAGCTGTCTTCTCACCCAGTACTTGCGTTTGTGCCGGCTACACACCTATCAAGCTAACTACCCACCTACCTACCTTCACACTAGCCCACATACCAACTTGCCCACATACGCATTCACCTGCCTACCGAGTCACCAACTCACGTACCCACCAGCCTGCTTACAGTAACAACCTACCCAGCTTCCAACCGACCCTACCCACTCGCCTACGTGCACACCTACCTACCCACTCGCTCACCTACATACGCACCTTCCTACCCACTCGCCTAAAACACACTTACCTACCCACTCGCTCACCTACATACGCACCTTCCTACCCACTCGCCTAAAACACACCTACCCACTCGCTCACCTACATACGCACCTTCCTACCCACTCGCCTACAACACACCTACCCATTCGCTCACCTACATACGCACCTTCCTACCCATTCGCTCACCTACATACGCACCTTCCTACCCACTCGCTCACCTACATATGCACCTTCCTACCCACTCGCCTACAACACACCTTCCTACCCACTCGCTCACCTACATACGCACCTTCCTACCCACTCGCCTACAACACACCTTCCTACCCACTCGCTCACCTACATACGCACCTTCCTACCCACTCGCTCACCTACAACACGACGACCTACGCACTCGCTCATATAAAGCAGAGGTGGAGCTTTGCCGTAGGTGGTGAGTGTAGGGTGGGGAGTGTAGTGCGTGTGGATGCTGAATATAGTCGCTGTGCATGGTGAGTGGCGTCTAGACAGTGAGTATCGTGTTTTTTCCCGATGGTGAGTGGCGTGTGTATATACGTGGGTAGTATGGTGTGCGTATGGGGTGAGTGGGGAGCGGTGGTGTAGCGGTCTACGCTGCGCTACGAACCTGGCGACCCGGGTTCGATTCCCACTCACGGCCAACACCAGTGACGATTATCTGAACCGGTCCTAGGCCTTACCTAGGTCGACTGTGTAAACATCGCCACTCGGGAGACAAAGGCGGTCGGGCGTGTTGCTGGCCACCCCACCCCCGTGCCGGCCTTCATAGGTCCTGCTCGCTAACAGCACTTGCCCCAAACAGTCTGTTAAGACTATACCGGGGATCTTTGAACTTTGTGTATGGGGTGAGTGGTGCATGAAGGTGCCGAATGTGGTTGCTGGGGTTTGTGTCATCATGACTTTGTTGCGGTTCACAATGCCCCCCACGCACGTTCGTAGCGCAGGCTGACAGGTGGAGAGTGGACAAACCGGCAGGCGTACAGGTCGACAAGCTTACAGGTAGACGTACAGGTAGCCAGGTGTACATGCGGACAGGCCAATGCATGCTCACCTTGCAGAGAAGTTCCCGTTTCACATGGAATCAGCCTGCGCTGGTCTAATTCAGCCTTTGGGGAGTCCTAACCTTTCACTCTGGCTGGCTGGGTACGTGTGTGGGTGTGTACGTGAGAGCGGTGGTGTAGTGGTTAGCGCTACGCTGCGCTATGAACCTGGCGACCCGGGTTCAATTCCCGCTCACGGCCAACACCGGTGACGATTGTCTGAACCGGTCCCGGGCCTCCCCGAGGGCGACTCAGCCTAAAAATGAGTACCTGGTGCGGTGTGTAGTAAACATCGCCACTGGGGAGACAAAGGTGACCGGGCGTGGTGCTGGCCACCCACCCCCTCGTGTGCCGTGCCGGCCTTCATAGGCGCTCGCTAACAGCACTCGCCCCCAACAGTCTGTTTAGGCTGTACGGGGGGGGATCTTTATCACAGTCTTTGTGGTATGTGAGTGTATACGTCTGCGTTTGTGTGGGTGTGTAGGGGTGTCTCTGTGCATTGGCATGCGTGTGTACGTGTGTACGTGTGTGTGTGTATACAGATACGACGTTGAGTATTATCGTACACGCATGGATAAGTCGGCACAGTGGGGAGCACGGGCGGTGCATTTGCCAGTTATCTCGGTCAGTTAATAAACAGCACCTGGGTCTGTCCCGTGACATTCCAGAGTTTGACACGTGGTAGGGGCTTTCGCAACCAATATTATCCGTCGTGGAGGTTTTTGGGGTTAGATCGCGTCAAGTATAAATGTTTAAGACCGAAACAGGAAGAGTTCTCCACAAACTCTGCCCGTCGCGTGATGATGCTGGTTGTAATTGCCGGCAAAACGTCACCTCGGTCAAACCCACGGCACCCGGGTCTGTCCCGTGACCTCCCGTCAGCGGCGAGCCCGTCGACTCTTCACGTGGCCGCGAGGTGCACGCACCTAGCCTGGCACAAGCGGCGCGGTGCCGTCACCGCCCCGCTTGGCGGGAGTGTCTGCGAACTCGTGACGCGCGTGGGAGACCGGTGCTGACTGCCCCCCCCCCCACTTCTCTCCCCCTGCTGCCCCCCACGTCTCCCCCCGCCCCCACTTCCCCCCCCCCCACCTCGCTCTGTCACCCGCAGATCGCCAAGCTGCGACAGCAGCTGCAGCGGAGCAAGCAGAGCGGCCTGGAGCGGGAGGCGGTCTCTCCGCTGCTCGCCGGGCTCACCGCGCCGCCGCCACCGCCGCCAATCGTCGGCGCCCAGCCGCTGGTGCGTCCGTCCGGTGGAGGGCCGGAGCGCCCCAGACGGCCCGCGATGGCCGTGCCGGAGAGCGGGAATAATTAGGCTGGCCTGCCTACAATCCATCCTGGGTTTAACCAGGCTGGATTGTCTGAGGAGCTCACAAATCCTTGAAAGATCTGGGCAAGGTCCCATCGGTGAGCTCCTCCGGCAGGCAAGGCTGCGATGGCTGGGTCACGTAGCCCGCATGCCCAGCCACCGCATGCCGAAACAGCTTTTGTTCGGCCGGATCGAGGGGCCTAAACGGGCGCGGCACGGGCTATAGAAGAGATGGAGTGATGTGGTACAGGAGGACGTAGAGCTGAGTGGACTAGCCGATGACTGGTACCAGCGGTATCAAGATCAGCCTCTGTGGAGGAGGCTCGTGAAGGATGCTACTGGGCAGTTGTAGGCAGTCGCCCTCCAACAACAACGGAGGGCAGAGGAGCGATACTCACAACAACGAGCGGAGCGCCGGGTGGCTAAAGCACAGCAGGTTGGCACAGTAGGGGGTACAGGTGGTGCATCAGCCAGTCATCTCAGTCATCTTAGTCAGTCGACCCGTGGCACTTGGGTCTGCCCCGTGACCTCCTGCCAGCGGGTGTTCGACACTTCACGTGGCCCTCACCTGGCCTGGCATGAGCGCCGTGTTGACGTCACCGTCACTTGGTGGTGGCGAATGCCCGTTGTAGTCGTGTGGAGCGTTGGCGGAGTTGTTTTAAGCATCGCTGCTGTGCTACAAAACCCCCTGGCGACACGGGTTCGATTCCCGCTCGTGACCAACACCGGTGACGATTGTCTGAACCTGTCCTGGGCCTCCGCTAGGTCGACTCGGCCTCAAATGAGGACCTGGTGCGGTGTTGTAAACATCATCACTGGGGGAGACGAAGGCGCCCGGGCGTGGTGCTGGCCACCCACGCCCACGTGTTTTGCCGTTCCGGCCTTCATAAGTTGCTGCTCGCTAACAGCACTTGCCCCACAACAGTCTGTTACAGGCTACACGGGGGATCTTCACATTTGTCTTTGCGTGCCGTTTACCGTTCTCGCCCTGACCTCTGCTGGGCCGGGGGTGGGGATGCATTTGCCGTGCCTCACAACTGGCGGGGTGCGCAACTTTTTGACGAGCCCAACGTTCGCGGCGTCCCAGACCTGGAGGAAACGGCGGCGTTGAGCTCCCACGGACGATGCCGCGTCCGCACACCGCAGGTGGCGATGCCGAAGCCGGGGGCCACCGCGCTGGCGGGGTTTCCCAGCACGCCCGGCGGCGGCGGCGGCGGCGGCGGCGGCGGCGGGGCCTCGGCCCCCTCCCTGGGCAAGGGGGTGCTGCCGCGCCTGCGCGCCAGCGTGGAGGCGCTGAACCAGGAGATTGAGCGAGTGTTCGTGCAGGAGGTGTGGTGCCACGATGCCCCGCGGGTGAGTGGCGCACCGCTAGGGGCCCTCCCTCTCTCCCCCCCCCCCCCCTTTCCCCCTCTCTCTCTCTACCCTCTCTCTCTCTCTACCCCCTCTCTCTCTACCCCCTCTCTCTCTCTCTACCCCCTCTCTACCCCCCTCTCTCTCTCCCCCTCTCTCTCTCCCCCTCTCTACCCCCCTCTCTTACTCCCCCTCTCTCTCTACCCCCTCTCTACCCCCCTCTTTACCCCCCTCTCTCTCTACCCCCTCTCTACCCCCTTCTCTCTCTACCCCCTGTCTACCCCCCTCTCTTCACTTGTCTTTCCCCTCTCTCTCTCTCCCCCTTCTGTCTCCCACCCTCTCTCTACCCCCCTCTCTCTCTCTCCCCCTCTCTCTCTACCCCCCCTCTCTCTCCCCCTCTCTCTTCACTTGTCTTTCCCCCCCTCTCTCTCTCCCCCCCTTCTGTCTCCCCACCCTCTCTCTCTCTACCTCTCTCTCTCCCCCTCTCTCTGTCTCTCTCCCCCTTCTGTCTCTTTTTTTTCTCCTTTTTTTTATTTACGCTTCAACATTGACAAACTGCGTTGACCATCAAACACAATTCAAGTCGCACATTCTTATTATGACGATGAAACTGTCAGCGAATTGGCATGCAAAATTATCCTCGTCAAAATAACAGTACATTATTATTATTATTTGTATCGGTGGCAGTTGGTGGGACAAACTCACTGTTTCTGTTGTGGCTGTTATTTGACAGAGCACGTTGACGCACACAATGGAAAAATAACAAACGTGATCAAACGTTCGCTCCCGCTCCGACCCGAACTGAGCGGGCTGCAACCCCCACCCTCTCTCTCTCCCCCTCTCTCTCTCTCTCTCCCCTTCTCTCGCTCTTGTCGCCTCTCTCTCACCGGGCATGGTGGGCGGCAGCGTGGCGGCTACGTACGTACGTTAAACCTCTTTCGCACCGTACGTAGCCAACCCTGCTAATCATAATTGGAGATGCGGGGTAGGGTGGGGGGCAGGGGACCACAACAAACTAAACGCAAAATTGCAGCGAGCAATGCAGTTTGACTGCCCTCGCTCTGTTCTATGCGGAACAACAAGCGCCCGTTGCTTTGAGCGTCTCCGTTTTTCAAAGTGGGGGTGGGGTGGGGGGGAGGAATGGCTCGGGAGGCCGGGAGAGATGAGTTTCGTCGCGTCCACCAGGATCGTCACGGTTTGTTGTTGTTGTTGTCAGCGTTGTTGTTGTTGTTGTCAGCGTTGTTGTTGTTGTTGTCAGCGTTGTTGTTGTTGTTGTCAGCGTTGTTGTTGTTGTTGTCAGCGTTGTTGTTGTTGTCAGCGGCGTTGTTGTTGTTGTCAGCGGCGTTGTTGTTGTTGTCAGCGGCGTTGTTGTTGTTGTCAGCGGCGTTGTTGTTGTTGTCAGCGGCGTTGTTGTTGTTGTCAGCGTTGTTGTTGTTGTTGTTGTCAGCGTTGTTGTTGTTGTTGTTGTCAGCGTTGTTGTTGTTGTTGTTGTCAGCGTTGTTGTTGTTGTTGTTGTTGTTGTCAGCGTTGTTGTTGTTGTTGTTGTCAGCGTTGTTGTTGTTGTTGTCAGCGTTGTTGTTGTTGTTGTTGTTGTCAGCGTTGTTGTTGTTGTTGTCAGCGTTGTTGTTGTTGTTGTTGTCAGCGTTGTTGTTGTTGTTGTTGTCAGCGTTGTTGTTGTTGTTGTTGTTGTCAGCGTTGTTGTTGTTGTTGTTGTTGTCAGCGTTGTTGTTGTTGTTGTTGTTGTCAGCGTTGTTGTTGTTTCACGCCGAGCCCTTTCAGCGTGGCCAGGGAACCGTCTTCTCGCCCCTCCAGCGCCAATCGTGTCGAGCTCCCACGCCCACCGGCTCGTGTCCCCCACGGGCCGTACCCCCACCACCCAACCGTGTAACGTGAAAAACAAACACGATTTTGATTTTACCAGGTCGAGGCGCACTGAGCTACGCAGCTCTTTTTTTCAGAAGCGACCTGGCCGCAAAGCGATGAGCCCGACGAAGTGGCTTGTCGTCACGTGGACATTTATAGTAGCGGCCAAATAGTCCGGCGTCGATTCTAAATGTGGAGCGGGAAAAACGGAGGACCCGGAAAAAAGTCCATGAGACCACGGAGAGAGAGAGAGGGGGAGAGAGAGACCGCAGACTCTAAATCTACAGCAGCAGCAGGTGTCAGGGTCGGGATCGAACCCACGACCTCCTGCGTAACGGGCGGCGGAGATAACATCTCGCCAACCTGGCCTCGAGTGGAGAAATGTAATTCTAAGAGGGGCGACGTTTTGGGCGACGGCCCTCCCTTCATGCGCCCACGGCGTTGACGGTCGTCGTTATCGGCCCGCTCCCGCCCCCCCGTCCGCGCGTTGGCAGCAGGACGCTCCGGACGGTCGCCGGGCCCCTCTCCCGACGCGACCGTGCAGCTCCAACTCCGGCATCGGCGGCAGCAGCGGCGGCAGCGGCGGCAGCGGCGGCAGCGGCGGGACCAGCGGCGGCACCAGCGGCGGCAGCAACGCGGCGACGCGCAGCGTGGACACGCAGACGCCGTCGGCCCTCGACGGCGAACGCTGCCGCTCGCTCCCCGCGTCGCCCGCGCTGCTCCCCCCGCTCCCTCCCGCCGCGACTGCTGTCGCTCTCCACCATCACAACCACCACCACCACCAGCAGCAGCAGCAGCAGCATCATCACAGCAACCACCTCGCCGGGCGCTCCCCTCCCTCTCCTCCGCCTCCGCTCGTCCACGGTGCCGCGGCGCTGCCTGCGCCGGTCACGGTGAAGCAGCAGCAGCAGCAGCAGCAGCAGCGGCTGCTGGCGCCCGGTGCTCCCCCCTCCGTTGTGATGTCATCGACGGCGTCATCGACATTGACGGCCCTCGCCACAGTCGATGATGTGAACAGAGGTGCGTGCTTTGTGCGTGTTGTTGTGTCATGGGTGTGTTAAGCAGCAGCGTAGCGGTTGGCGCTACGCTGTGCTGCAAACACGACAACCCCGAGGTTCGAGCCACGCTCGCGGCCAACACCGGCGGTGATTATCTGAACCGGTCCTGGGCCTCCCTTAGGCTTCCCCTAGGTCGGCGTACCAAGCGCAGTGTGTCGTAAACACCGCCACTGGAGAGACAAAAACGGCCGGGGCCGTGGTGCCGGCCATTCCAACCCATCGAGTGCCGTGCCGACATTCAAAGGCCCTCGCGAACAACACTTAGCCCCAACAGTCTGTCTAGGGCTACACGGGGCGGGGAATCTCTGTTTGGGCGTGGCGTGCGTTCATCGGCTGCGGAGTGGGTCCGTGCAAACCCATCCATGTGGCCCTTTTGAGTGTTGACCTCACGGCGACCTCCGGTAGCAGTGCAGCGGCAACGCTTGTGTCCTCGCAAGCGAAACGAGGGGCCTGGGTTCGACGCCTGACTCGGATGCCTCTCTGCGTGGGGGGTCCGTATGATCTCACGCCATCCATATCCTGTTCTGCAGAGTGCGGTGAGGTGTGAGTGTACGTGTGCGAGTGTGCGTGCGAGTGTGAGGTGGGCCAGCGGTAGTGCCAACGAGGTAGGGAAGTGTCGGGACGGTAGCCGAGGTTGGAGTGGCACTGTGTGCATCACGTGATGTCGTGGCGTCTACAGTGACAGGTGATGGGGCAGCTGCAGTGCAGCGAGCGCTGCTGGTGACGGTGCTGATGATCATCATGATGGCGATGATGACAGTGGGGATGGGAGGATGGTGATGATTGTGATGGTGACTGTGGTAATGGCGATGATTGTGACAGTGGTGATGGCGATGGTGGTGGTTATCACTGCGATGGTGACCGTGGAAATGATCATGATGTTTATGATTGTGTGTGTGTGTGTGATGGTAGCGACGGCGATGATGACGATTGTGATGATGAAGATGATTGTGATGTTGACAGTAGCAATCGTGTTGATTGAGATGGTGACGGTGCTAACGAGATCACGATGTTTGAAATGGCGATGGTGCGATGGTGATGCCAACTGGGGTTTGTGGCGGTGATAGTGGTAATGACGGCAATGATGGTGATGACGAATTGTGGTGATTAATATGATTGTTCTGTTGACGGTAGCAATGGTGTTGATTGTGATGGTGACGGTGCTAACGAGTTCGTTGTTGTGATCGTGATAATGACGCTCCCCCCCCCCCCCCACCAGAAGGAAGGGGCGGTGGCGGCGGGGGGCCAGAGGGGAGGGGCGGCTCGCCGCTGCCCAAGTACGTCTCGTCGCCCAAGCCCAACCACAGCTACACGTTCATGCGCGAGCCTCCAGAGGGTTGCGAGCGTGTCACGGCGTTCGAGGAGACTCAGTGAGAGACGCACGCAGCCACGCACGTCGCCACGCACGTCGCCACGCACGTCGCCACGCACGTCGCCAGCAATAGTGGTGCACTAGCCCCCCTCGTGCCTGCCCCCCCCCCCGAGTCTGCTAGCCCAATTCTACTTTCGAATTCAATCCTCGGTTTAACACGTGGCAGTAGGAGGCTTTCGCGACCAAATACCATCCATAATGCAGGTCTTTTTTTTTTGTTTTGGGTCGCATCGCGTAAAATATTAAAATGTGTCGTTACACCCGCCGCCACCCGACACAAAGCTGGTTGCTGTCTGCCTGATGAAGCTGGTTGTAATTGCCGGCGAGACGTCCGTGCTCAGATTGTAAACGTTGTGGCTTGGCTCTCCAACACACAACCGGCGGTGCTGTACTAGTATGCTACACTATACACTACTATACACTACACTATACACTAGTGCTGTACTAGTATGCTACACTATACACTACTATACACTACACTATACACTACACACTAGTGCTGTACTAGTATGCTACACTATACACTACTATACACTACACTATACACTAGTGCTGTACTAGTATGCTACACTATACACTACTATACACTACACTATACTCTACACACTAGTGCTGTACTAGTGACGAATTGGCCACGTGACAACTCCTTACTAGTTGGCCGTGTCGGGTGGTGGCGGGTTTTGACGACACATTTATATATTTACCCGGCCTAACCCAAAATAACCTCTATCATGAATTGAGTCCTGTTTGCGAGGGTTTGACTCATCATTCTCCTGGGGTCAATAGAATAGGTACCACATTGGCCCCCCCGCTATAGGAATGGTGCATTTTACACCCCCGGCTCGGTGTTTTGTCTCCGACTCGAGCGGGCCCTCCACCGGCGCGGGAGAGTGACCGCCGGAAACTCCACATTCCCATGGCCAGAGGGCAATCCCCTCTCTCACCGCGCTTAATGCGAGCAGGAACTCGTGCAAGGAGCCGCAAACCGTCGTCGCGCATACTCCGGTCATCCCCGCGGCCAGCGGCTCTTGGCCCGCTTGCCGTCGAAACAAAGACGCTGGTCACCGCATCGCGGCGCTGCCTTGGTGCGCCCCTTCTGCCGCTCTAGAAATGCTCTTCCTTGCAGTAATCAGGGAAGCCACTGGGAGCGGGAAGCGCTTCGAGGTTGACCGACTCATTTCTTTACGGAACTGCTTCTTGTCTTCAGTTTGCCGTCTCTCTCCCCCCCCGCACCTCCGATATTAGCACGGTTGGCGACACTGTACGGTGCGAAAGAAGTTCAGCATGCGTACGTACATGACCGCTCGCCCTGAACCCTCCCACCCCCCACCCCCACCCCCACCCCCCCACCGCTCTTCCGGGCAGAGGAAGAGCGGCCCTGATTGCTGGGCGGACCCCAGAGCCAGAAAAAATAACAAAAATAACAAAACCGGGTAATTTATTTAAATCTCAAGCACGCGGGTACAATGCGTTCCGCATCGATCGTTTGTCACCATCGCCTCCTCCCCCCCCCCCCCGGTGTTTTTCACCGCGCCCACGCTGTAACGGCGGACGCGAGGCAACCGCCGGGCATGGCGCGGTGACGGTGACGGTGACGGTGACGGCGGCGGCGGCGTTTCTCCCTCGGTCGTGCCAAGAGTTGCCCCCCTGCCCCCCACCGCCACCCCCGCCCGTGGTGCCGGATGAGCCAGGGATTGGCGCCACCGCCGCGGTGGAGATGGGTCGTGGTGGCGCTCGCCGCGACGGCGATGTCGACTTTCATCGAGCGCCTTTTGTCATCTTCGGAAATCTAAAAACTGAACTCGTGAAACAATTTTTTTTTTAATTTCACCAGGTGTAAAGAGCTGTGTTGTGGTGTAGCTCTTTTTCAGCAGCGACCTGGCCATCACAAATGCGAGCTCGTCGAAGTGGGCTCGCGTCTCGATCTAGTGCGGCCAAATTGCTCCGAACGCGTGACGTCGATTCTATAAATGTGGAGAGAAAAACCAGATGTGCCGGCGGAAAAAATCCACGTGACCCACATGGGAGAGAACATGCAAACTCCAAATATATGCATGCAAAACTGCAAACCCACGACCTCCTGTATATCAGGCGAGGTAGTTAACATCTCAGCGTACGTATAACAAAATCAATTGTAAGCCATGCTCACAAAGTACAAATTCAATCCAATAGAAATGCAGTGAATACGATACGCGTAATAATAATAATGACGCTCACACTGTAGATACAATGCAGACACAACCATCCGGTGATAATGATCGCAAGTCGCGGCGTAGGTAACGTCCAGGTGATCCGGAGGTCGTCGTGAGGTCAACACTCAAAAGGGCCACATGGATGGGTTCGCACGGACCCACTCCACAGGTCGCCATTGCGCTGTGTGCTCGTTAACCGCTGCGCCACCACGCCCCCCTCCCCCCCCCCCCCCCTCGCCGTGTTATTACGACGATGACGACGATCGGTAGACAGAGAGGGGGGGTCTGGCTGGATGGATGTCTGGCATTGGGGAAGCGTGAGCCGTGACACTGGGCCGGGTTGCGGTGCGGAACGACGGGAGATAAAATGTCCTTGCGGAAGGGAAGTGTGCACTTTGCAGGGGCGGGGGGAGGGGGGAGGGGGGCGGGTTTGGGGGGGGGGGTCGGGGGAGGGGTCACGTGGAGGTCAATGGCGGTTGCGGGCCGCCCCTGACGTTCCGTGCCCATGGCCGCGGCGTTTGCAGGGCGCGGCCCTCGCGCTCGCCCAGCCACACACTTAGACGGGCGTCCGTCGGTCGGCGCGGCCCTGCTCCCGCCCCGAACCGTCGGTCGGCGCGGCCCTGCTCCCGCCCCGAACCGTCGGTCGGCGCGGCCCTGCTCCCGCCCCGAACCGTCGGTCGGCGCGGCCCTGCTCCCGCCCCGAACCGTCGGTCGGCGCGGCCCTGCTCCCGCCCCGAACCGTCGGTCGGCGCGGCCCTGCTCCCGCCCCGAACCGTCGGTCGGCGCTGCCCTGGTCCGCCGTGACCCCAGGGGGTCGGCGGCACTGCGGCTCCGGAGCCGCGTACGGTGCCTCTTTAAGGGGACTGCAGTGGCGGCTGTGGAAATTCGAAAATAAAAAAAAAATGCCTCCTCTTGTTGTCTTGCCTGCCCGCGACCCCCTGACCGTGGGAGTCCAGTTTACAGAGAGAGTACACAAACACAGTACACACACAGTACACACACACAGTACACACATACAGTACACAAACACAGTACACACACAGTACACACACAGTACACACACAGTACACACACCGTACGTACTCGCACCTTCATCTAGCAGTGGATTTGATAATGGCTGCCGATGTGGCCGATTCGCGAAAATGACTCGTTGCGTACGATGGTAACGAGGTGTGACCTCGTCCGCGGTGATGATGACCGGTACGCTGACATCATCTCCTCCGTGTGTGCTGCCTCCCCCCCCTCCCCCCACCACTACTCCCCTCCCCCACCCCTCGCCGTGTTCAGGCAGCACAAGGAGATTCCCTCGATCTTCTGCCCGGACAAAAACAAAGTGAACTTCGTCATCAAGAGCGACACGGCCTTCTGTCCCATCAGCCTCCTGCGCCCGCCGCGGACTGTCCACCTCGCGCCCGAGCCGGCCCAAGGCTCGGCGCGGGACGCTGGGCAGGGCTCGGCGGGGGACGCACCGGAGGAGATGGAGCCTCCCGGCTGCATGCTGCGCCAGCACTCCGCCGATCGCTAGCGCGGGAACCCCCGGGAGGAGGGGGGCGGGGGGCGGCCGGCCGGCCTTGGAGGGGGAGGGGGGTGCACGAACATTTCTACGTTCTGAAAACAACAACAACAACAACAACACGTTCGATGATGATTCGTAATCAATGATGAGAATTATTAATCGACAACACTCAGGGAAATGGAGCAACGCTAACCAGGAAGGAGCGCACGAGGTGGAGGACGAGGAAGATGCGGTGGAGGAGGATGCGGTCTGGCACGGAGGACGATGACGAAGCGATTGCGACGTCGACGTCGTGACCGGGCGCGCGTTTCGGAAGTCCGTTTGGCAGTCCCGGGCGAGCGCCGTCAATGCCACGTTCCTCCGGGGGAAAAAATCTCTCCCGTAGGAGGTTTTATTTTTTTTGGGTTCGATCGCGTAAATATTTACGCGATCGAACCCAGAAAAAAACCTGTTACGGATGATATTGGTCGCGAAAAGCCTACGTGTTGAACGGAAAAAAATCTCCGTTTGTCGAACTTGCAGGTTCCGCGCGCACCCCAACGCCCCTCCACCTCCGCCAACACCTGCAAGGCCTGCGTTGGGAGCTCTGGTCGGATGACCCCCCCCCCCCCCCCCACGGTTCGTCTACAGCAGTGGCGTGGGCGAGGCCGTCGTCCAGCAGTGGAGGGGGGGGGGGGTGGTGGTGGTTGTGTTTTACATGCGGTCTTGGCGGAATAGATTTGCGGATGAATTTTCTTTTGGCATCCGGGGGGGGGGGGGGGGTCCCTTAACCAACTGCCCCTGCAACACGGTGTGTCACTGCTGTGGTGTTGAACCAAATCGGACTGCCCTGGCACGCGCGGGCGCAAGGTGTGTGTGTGTGTGTGCAAGGCGTGTGTGTGTGTGTGTGTGCAAGGTGTGTGTGTGTGTGTGCGTGTGCGCAAGGTGTGTGTGTGTGTGCAAGGTGTGTGTGTGTGTGCGCAAGGTGTGTGTGTGTGCGCAAGGCGTGTGTGTGTGTGTGCAAGGTGTGTGTGTGTGTGTGCGCAAGGTGTGTGTGCAAGGTGTGTGTGTGTGTGTGTGCGTGCAAGGTGTGTGTGTGTGCGCCGGCCATCTCGGTCGTGTCAACCCATGGGGTCTGTTCGGCTAACCTTCTGTCAAGCGAGCCTTCCACGCCTTCACGTAGCCTTGGAGTGCACCTAGCCTGGCGCGGGCGCCGTGGTGACGTCCGCGTTTACCGACCCCGTTCGCCCAACAGCTGTACGGTTTTTTTTTATATTTCCCACCCCCCTCCCCCCGCAGTGGAAATAACGATTGGCGATCAACTTTTGGTGTGGGGAGAGGGGGGGGGGGTGGTGTGGGGTGAGGCCACGTAACGATCTGGCCGAATCGCCTCGTGCCGTTAGACCCTCCGCCAAAGGACGCAGGAACGCACCGCACCGCCACGCACCGCACCGCACCGCCACGCACTGCACCGCACCGCCAATCCGTGCCCTGACTAAACCGAGACGACGGAGGGGATCGATTCTGGGAGCGCACCACGATCCCGCGTCGTGACGATTCATCCGAGGGGCCGTTGGAGTTTCAAAGATTCCGATCCCACGCGCCTCCATGCTTGGCACGTCATTGGTGATGACGATGATGATGATGAGTGTGGTGACGGTAGTGGTGGTGATGATGACGGTGACGGCTACGATGGTGACGGCTGACAAGGAAGAGCTATCGCAGGAGGTTGCGCGCCGATTTGTGGAGGGGGGGGGGGGCCGGGGGGGAGTGCCGGATTCCGACCGGCGACGTGGAGTTGCGAAGGCTTTCCAAACTGCCGGGATGCCGCGATTGGTCAGCTGCTGTGGCCTACCGTGTGGGTGCTGAGCGGAGGAGCCACGCACGCTGTGTGTACTTCTGGCTGTGCGGCCTGTGTGTGTGTGTGTACATGCTCTTGCGCGCGCGTGCATTCGTACATTCCACGTGTGCGGGCGGTAGTGCAGCGGGCCCGGCACGCTGCGAACCGGGCGACTCGAGTTCGAGTGCCCGCTCGCGGCCAACGCCGGCGTGACGGATATCTGAACCGGTCCTGGACGCTTTGCCTAGGTCGACTCGGCCTCAAATGAGTACCTGGTGCGGTGTGCAGTGAACATAGCCACCGGGGAGACGGAGGCGGCAGGTGGTGGCGCTGTCCACCAAAACCCCCCCTCGTGTGCCGTGCCGGCCTTTATAGGTGCTGCTCGCTAACAGCACTTGCCCCAAACAGTCTTGAGGCTATACAGGGGGGCGGCGGCGGGGGGGGGGGGGGCCTTTGTCTTTGTAATGTCACCGTGCACCTAGCCTGGCGCAAGCGCCGTGGTGGCGAACGACGGCGCTCGTCGATGCAGCGTCTGCTCGTGAACGTCAACAACGAAAACAAACAAATTCCTCCGCGGGCTGGAATACTTTGCGCAAGTTTCACTTTGTAACACAGTTTTTGTTCCTGGGTGCCAAGCGTTATGTTTTTTTTTTAATTGCTCATGCCTAAAAAGTCTAGAAAATGGCTATTATTATTATTCCCCGCAAACTTTTCTTTTGTGACCACGTGAACGAAAAGACGCTAATTCGCACCACGTTTTCTCATTGGTACATTTCAAAATATCGTTGTCCTGGTCACAAAAGCAAAGATGGTCGGGGAATAAAAGCCATTTTCTGTATGTTTGAGGCATAAACAAATTGGAAAATAACACTTACTACCCAGGAAAAAATATGTTTTTGTTACATTGCGTTATCCCCCCCCACCCACACCGCTTGCAAACCCCCTAGGTGCCTTCTCTCAGCGGCCCTGGCATCCTTGGGCAAACCCGCACCGACCAGCGAAGTATGGTCGAGGCTAAGGGGGGAGGCCTTCATCCAGCAGTGGATTTGACGACGAGAAAAAAGGGCTGTAAATTATAACTGTTTTTTTTATACGTTACACATCTTGGGCCAGTGAGAGTCCGTGTCCGCCCGGTTCTCTCTTTTGTCACGTGTAAAATTTCCCCACTGTCTCCTATATATGCACGTGTGCTGTGTGGGGAGCGGTGGTGGCGCGGTTAGCGCTACGAACCCCGGCTATGATCCGAGTTCGATTCCCGCTCACGGCCACCAACGCTGGTGACGATTGTCTGAACCGGTACGGGGCCTCCCCCTAGGTCGACTCGGCCTCAAATGAGTACCTGGGTGCGGTGTGCAGTAAAAACATCGCCGCTAAGGAGACAAAGGCGGCCGGCGGTGGTGCTGCTGCTGGCCACCCAAACCCCCCTCGTGTGCAAGTGCCGGTAGCCTTCATAGGCGCAGCTACTCGCTAACAGCACTTGCCCCTAAAGTCTGTTGAGGCTATACGCGCGGTTGGGGGAGGGGGGGGAATCTGTCTTATTTTATTGTACACAAGACAGATCTCCCGTATAGCCTGTAACAGACTGTAGGGGCAAGTGCTGTTAGCGAGTAGCTGCGCCTATGAAGGCCGACACTGGCACCACACGAGGGGGGTTTGGGTGGCCAGCAGCACCACGCCCGGCCGCCTTTGTCTCCTTAGCGGCGATGTTTTTACACCACCGCACCCGGGTACTCATTTGAGGCCGAGTCGACCTAGGGGGGGGAGGCCCAAGACCCGTTCAGATAATCGTCACCGGCGTTGGTGGCCGTGAGCGGGAATCGAACTCGACAGGTTCGTAGCGCAGCGCGCTAACCGCTATACCGCCGCTCCCCACGTACACGCACACAGACACACATATATACAAACACAAACGATGTAATCTCAGGAGGACTGGAGTGCAAACAGAAGTCACCCGTGGACCCCCCAGGCTGTGGCTCTCCGCGACTTGTGCGGAGTCGCCCGGTGTTGCTGGGAAGGAATTTGCTCTCTGAGCGGCCGCTTGTGGATTTATTTTTGTAAAGAAAAAAACAAGGAAATATACACACACGCGGTTTGTTGTCGCTGTTGTTTCCATGACACGATGGAGAAATGAACGTTGTGGGGGTTTTTTATATTTTAGACCCGGAAGAGGTATGGTGGGGGGGGCTCACAGTGGGGGGGGGGGCCCTCGTGTCTCAACGCCGGTGGGAGTTGTCATCCCCTTCCCAGGATGGATTCCGGACGCCTGCGATTTAAAATCCACGTCCTCGAGTGCCTCGTGAGAGTCCCCCACTCGGCACACTCTCCGTACCGACGGTGGTGGGATGTTAACTGCCTCGCCTGATATACGGGTGGTCGTGGGTTCAATCTCGACCCTGACGCCTGCTGCATATTTTGAGTTTTCGCGTCTCTCCCTGGTCCCGTGGATTTTTGTCCAGGATGTCCCGGTTTCCCCCCTCCCCCCACCTCCAAATTTAGAATCATACATTACGCGTTAATTCTCGAGTGTGTGTCTGCTGTTATAAATGTCCACGTGATAATAAGCAACTTCCGTTGAGCTATCATTTGTGTTAGGCAAGGTCGCTTCTGAAAAAAGAGCTGCGTCGCTCAGGTGTGTGGGGCCTTACCTGGCGATATTTAAAAAAAACAAGTTTTAGTTAAGCGGTTCCGTCTTGGAAGGCTTTAAACACGAACAGCTCTCCGTTCCATTGGGGTGCCACCGTGGCCAGGAGATGTTGACTACCTCGCCCGGCATACAGGAGGTCGTGGGTTCGATTCTGACCCTGACGCCTGCTGTATATTTGGAGTTGGCGTGTCTCTCTCTCCGTGGCTAGATGTTAACAACCTCGCTTGGCATACAGGAGGTCGTGGGTTCGATTCCGACACTGACGCCTGCTGTATATTTGGAGTTGGCGGTGTCTTTTGTGGTCGCCTGGATATCTCTCCGAGTCCTCCGGTTGTTACCCCCCCCCCCCCCCACCTTTCTCCACATTTAGAATCAACATCACGCGTTTGGAATATTTGGCTGCTTATGCATTTCCACACGATGATGATGATGAGCCGTCATTTGTGATGGCACATGTCGCTTCTGAAAAAAAAGAGCTGCGGTAACTCTGTAAAATAAAATTATAAAAAAACATTGCCCGTGCGTGTGTGTGTGGTGATTGACATACTGCCAACCCCGTGTGTTGCCCGGTGCCGGTCACGTGTGTAATGTACGCGTGTTGAACTTCTTTCGCACCGTACGTAGCCGACCGTGCTAATCGGAGGTGCGGTGTACGGTACGTGTGTCGAACGTCTTTCTTACCGGAGGTGGGTTAGGGGGAAGGGCAGTAAACTAAACACAAACACTAATTCTGCTGTTCTCATAGCAGCGGGTTTTATTTTTTCCCGTGCGGTGACCACTTTTATGACCCCTCCGAGCGCGTCGCCGTTACCGGACATCTGTGGGAGGGAGGGGGGAGCGAGGGGAGGGGGGAGCGAGGGGAGGGGGGAGCGGGGAGAGGGGGGGAGCGGAGATGGAGACTCCACCGCCGGCTGCCCTCTTCTCGTGTCTATGAAATAAATACTCGCCACCCCCCACCCCCCCCCCCCCTGTTTCTGTACAGCATCTTCATACTCTTGGGGGGGAGGTGGTCGTGAGTCGTGGGTAGGGGGGCCAAGTTTTTAGTGAAGTTTGGGGGGGGGGGTGCAGTAAGAGTCACGTGGCACATCGCTCGCTGCGGGTTCGCGTTGAATTTGACCCAAGACCAAACGTGCAACTCTACAATGTTTTTATATTTTTTCTTGCCACTTAAGGCCCCCCGCTGAGCTGCTATGTAGCGGGGTTTTTTTTTTCAGAAGCGACCTGGCCATCACAAATGATAGCTCAACGGAAGTAGGCTTATTATCACGCGGAAATCTACAGCGCCAGCAGCAGCAGCAGCAGCCCAAACACTTTGAGACTGTACGCCCGATGTTGTTTCTAAATGTAGAGGTGGGGGGGGGACCCCGGAGCATCCCGGAGAGAGAGACACGCAACCTCGAAACATACAACAGGCGTCATGGTTGAGATCGAACCCACGACCTCCTGTATACCTGG